TACCAGAAGTATCCGGGGCAGATCAACGCTCTGCAGTGCAATGGATCGCGTACCTTTGCGATGCCCGTGAGTGCCTGCATGGACCCGTTCTCGAAGCGCCAAATTGCGCTGTTCGACTTCAACCGTGATCACAATTCCATCACGAACGATGAGTGGGTCGCGTGGTTCAAGTCAGCGTTTGAGGAAGACCATTAAAACCTGGACGTTATGAAGCAACGTCTGCAGCGAGCGATTCGTTTCGATACGAAGATCTTGGACGCTGAGTCGCGCGTCTATCGTATGTTGGACGAGCTGATGCGCTCGTTGGAACAAGACTAATGGGAGTGGGTGCTCCACCAAGAAGGCAAGATGGTCGTCGAAGTCGTGACGATATCGATCAAGCCGGAATCGCTGAAGACGGCGGTTCAAAAGCAGCTGCAGTTGTAACGGAAAAGGCGTTGAAGAGCGACGTTTTTCGTTACGTCAACTGGCTGCGAAGGTTTGCAGCTCGCCACCAGCTGTACATTGGACTCGACGACGAGTCTAAACCTTCCCCGGCAGCGAATTCGGTACTGTAGAAGCTCCACGAGGCGGCAAGCCTCAAGTTCCAGGACGTGAAGGCGGCCGGGTAAACGCCGCCAAGAACAATGGCAGTGTCGGCGGAAAGGCCAAACCGATCGTGCCCAAGACCGCCGAGCCACCTGCCAAGAAGGGCTGCTTGAAGTGCGGTGACATGGGTCATCGTGTGGCGCGGCGCCCGAAGACCGCGTGTCGAAACCGAAACGTTGTTGGCAGCGTAAGCAAAGCGCTGGAAGGACGGCATCAAGGTGCTGGTCAACCAGCCGCAGCATCAAAAAGCAGAGCGCGGCGTGCTGTTGGAGAATCTTGGGCCCTGGTTCGGATGTACTCTTGGACACTGGTTCGGACGTGACCGTTGTCACGCGCGGCATCATGGATGCGTTGGACGCGGCCGGTGTCAAAGTTGGGACTGTCTCCCATAGCGTGCCGCATTTGGCGTATCTGTATGGCAGTGACGCCAAGCCAGTTGTGATGAAGCGTAGCATCAAGTTCAACTGCGTGGCGCTGGACAAGACGTGTGGACTGCTCGTGTTACGCGGTCTGAAGACTTGGGTCGACGACGCGTCGACTACAACCGAACTCATCGTGAGTCCCCAGTCATGGAGTTACTGGGCTTCAGCGTTGAAGACCTCCTTGTTGGAGCAAGGAAGAAGAAGGAAGAATTAGATGTTTCGTCCGTGTTGATGAACGAACTGTCCGGCATGGCGAATGTCAAGCGCCTGATGGTGGAGAAGCTGAATCCACTGGAGCTTTACCACGACGACGGGATGGAGTGTGCTCAGGCCTCCTTATCGTAGGTATTCTATAAATAGATACCTAATATACCTGAATCACCACCCGACAATATACCTCAATTAAGGAAACTCTGGAAATTGTGGTATAACGCATGGGAACGGAACCCTGCCTCGCCTGGGCTGCAGAAGATGCAGGTGGAGCGCGACGAGATCAATCACGCTGCCGTGTTGGAGGCGCCGGCGTGCATGCCGGTCGACTTGGCTAAGATGCGTCCCAAACTGTTCCTGGACGACATCCTGACGCCCCGCTTGGCACGGGTGCGTCTGTTCTTCAGCTCAGACGACGTCGCTTCCATCGACCAGGATCATCGAGACCTGGTCAAGGCGTACAAAGACGAGCCCGGCATCAAGGCAATCATCGATGCACACAGCAACAAAACGAATTTCAACGACGGCTGGAATTCTTTCGACAGGGCGCGCTTCTCACAGCTGCACCGCTTATGCTGGGAAAAGATTATTTTCGAGCAAACGATGGATTATTTCCGAGCGAGGCTTTGGGATGGAGCATTTTAGAGCGTACTTAGACTGTTGCAGTCTTTTCGAGCGTACTTAGTTGGGACATAAGTTGTTGTGATGGAGTGGATTGTTTTAGAGTATTACGGATATTACCTAATTTCCACTGGGACAAACCGGATTGATAGTGAGGTTAAGATATTCCCAAGTGGGATAAACTGCGACAATGGATTCATTTCGATTCAATTTTGGATACACAACACACAGTCCACAAGGGGTTTGCAAATTGGCAATCGTTTGCTATCGCAAACGATTGTTAATGCGCAAACCCCGGACATAGCATTACACGTACGTTATCCGGGGTGGAGACGTAGTCTCCGTGGGGGAAAGGGTACGGTTCTGGTGAAAGAATGCTGGGTCTGGTGACCATGATGACGTCAACAATTATTGTTTGGGATGCAGTGGGATAAATTCGACGATTGCACTTCGGGGTAAGTATCATTAAAGGCGCCACTGTACTCAGCATTGGCATTTCAGTAACCATTTTATTTGCTCGGAAATTCACCAATGACTAACACATGTTCTTGCGCGTATTAAGTGCGCTCGGAAAGTGTCTCTCTGGACTATTTTGCTCGAAATCGATCCATTCTAAGGCGTGCTCGGAAATGCTCGTTTGCTCGAAAAAAATGCGCACCCGCTTATGGTCGGGAATGGCGTCCGTGTTCGCGAAGACTACCTCAAAGGTGGAGTCCGACTTCAGCATCCTGAAATGGGAGAAGGACGAGTTCCGCATGAACCTTCTCGACCTGTCGCTCGAGGGTATCTTCCTGGCCAAGCAGTTCAAGCTGCTGGGCCTGCTCGACCCCAACCCAGTGCCCCAAGCAGACGACGACGATGATGACGACACGTAATGGATTGACTTGCCGCGAACAATAAATAGCTAAATACTTTGGTACAACCACCCATGTAAAGCTCATCCTTCAAAATGACTGATGCATGCTATATTCAGTATATGCCTACCGGTAGACGACTGAGATACCTTAATTAAGCTAATATAGGTAATTAAGGTATTTACCTTAAATAATGAGGCCTGAGTGTGCTACTCCGGAGGTTTATTCCAAAACTTCCGTCGAAGACAAAGCGGAACGGCGCCGCACGAAGCAGGCCGCCGTTCAAGCCATTCTAACGGCCAAGGCGGCTGAAGCGATGCGGCCGCACGACTTACAGGCTAAACACATTGATGAGTTCCGTGAAGACTTGAGCGACGATCCGCCAGTCAAGGTCGAACCACTGAGGGTTCGAATCAAGCCCGGTTCGACGCCGGTGAAGTGTGGGATGCGGCGGTACCCACCGCTGCATGTGGAGTACTGGAATCGAATGTACCATGGTACCAAAATATCCGGGCTACGTGGGCCGCAGCCCTAAGAATTGTGCCGAAGAAGGAAGTCGTAGACTTTCGCATGACGATCGACAGCAGGTCGATTAACGCCTACACGGAGCCGATGCCAAATCTGGACAGCGCGATGGTCTGTCTGGTCGGAACGAACGTGTACTTCACGTTGGACTGGAACATGGAGTACTGGCAGTTGCCGCGACAACTAGATCTATTTCTCGTTCATGACGCCCTTCAGCGTGTATACCCCGACCCGCGTGCTCATGAGACAGGCGGACGCTGTCGCGTACTGCCAGTCGGTTGTCCACCAAATGTTTGATGGACTGCTGTTCTGAGGCCTATTGGCCTGGCTTGATGACTTGCTGGGGTCCGCCAAGATGACGGGCGAGATGTTTGACTTGTTGGACCAAGTCCTGACCATATGTGGCCAGTTCAGAAGCAAGTTGAGCCAGAAGAAGTACCATTTCTTCCTGCGCGAGGCAGAGTGGTGTGGCAAGGTGATTTCGGCCGATGGAATCATCCATTCCTCAAGCCGAATTCAAGGACTCGTGGATTTGTCGCCGCCGTCGACCGCGGCCGACCTCCAGCAGTTTGTGTGTGCCACTAACTCGATGAGTGCGAGCATCCCTGGTTACAACCAGCTGGTGGGTCCGTTGCGACGTCTGCTCGACATGGCCACCAAGGCAGCCAGAAGCTGCAAGAAAATGGAGTTAGTGCGTGCTCTGCCGTGGGATGGGCGCCAGACCATCTCATGTGTTTCAACGATGTGAAACACGCGTTGGCGCATATGGTGCCCCTGTCGCACCCGCGAGAAGCCATGACGGTCTGCGTCTTCACGGACGCCAGTGACCTGTTTTGGGGTGCGGTCGCCACACAAGTACCGCCAACGGACCTGGACTTACTTACCTCTGCAAAGTGATAATGCAAAGGAATATGAAAAGCTGGCTCGTCTGATTACGTCCAAATATCAAACCCGAGTTACGTTTTCTAACGCGTAATCCCTAAATCAAAACGCTGTAGCAGTGCGTCCCGGGTGAATGTACGGGGCGACCTCCTGAGCCGATGAGGTTCAGCCCCGACGGATCAACCAGTTGCGGGGCTTCGGGGCGCATGTTCGCAAGTTGACCCATGTGGTGTCGCCCCTGCAACAAGTGGACTTCGAGTGTCCGACAGCCGCTACGATCAGCGACATCCAATGTTCAACCATGGAAGGGGGGGGGCAAACGGCGTGGATTGGGACGACGACTCCCATTTTTACGTGGACCCAGACGGTGCTGTCGACCTACAGCAGCGGATTTGTGTGAGCGCTCACCAAGGAGCCAGCGGTCACCATTGCAGCGACGACCAAGTCGGTGTCCGACAAGTTTGTGTGCATGTATGCACTGCCTGTGCATTGACGGAGACATGGTCCCCCGTCCATTGGGCCCGGCTCTTCACGCGGAGAAGCCCAACGAGCTCATCCATTTCGACTGGTTGTCGATGCCCATGGCCAAGTCTGGCCAAAAACAATTGCTTGTCGTGAAGGACGACATGAGTGGCTTTGTGCTGCTGTTCGCGGCAAAGTCCGCTGATGCCGCCGCGACCGCTCAGTGCCTGATGTCGTGGTTTTCCATGTTCGGTTGCGTTGCCACATGGGTCACGTGGAAGACGCTTTCCACGGACGTCGAAACGTTCGTGCGTGCCTGATTGCACTGCCTGTGCATTGACGGAGACATGATCCCCCGTCCATTGGATCCGGCTCTTCACGCGGAGAAACCGAACGAGCTCATCCATTTCGACTGAGATGCCGGCTCTCACTTCAAGAACGAAGTGATCGAGAAGGTGCGGAAGTTGATGGGTGCCCACCATCACATCACGGCAGCCTACAGTCCTTGGGCGAACGGGATGTAGAAGTAGTCAACCGACTAGTGCTGCACGCCGTGAAGGCGCTGCTCAGAGAAATGAAGCTGAAAGCGGACGAATGGCCGCATGTGTTGCCCCACGTTCAAGGTGCTCTCAACCATCAGGCGGTGGGCCGACTAGGAGGAATTGCACCTGTGACAGCGTTTACCGGTCTGCCAGCCAAGACACCGCTGGCAGGATTTGTCCATCCGACGTCCAAGGCAGTTAACGTCACGGACTGGCTTGGCGCTGGCCGTCAGAAACATGTGATGGACATCCAAGCGGCTGACAACAACGTTGCGGTGCGAAGCGACAAGTTGCGTCAGCAAGCGTGTGGACGCCGCGACCGAAAATCCCAAGTCAAGTTTGCAGGGTTTTCGGTCGGCGAATTTGTGCTTGTCGGATCGGTCGTCAACCGTCCGACAAAATTGGCCCTGCATTGGCGAGAACCCTGCCAAGTGACCAGAGTCATCACAGACCATGTGATGGAGACTCAGCAGCTGGTGCCACCGTACGAAGTCACGGTCCACCATGCGTGCCGACTGAAGATGTGCCATGAAGTTGGTAGAGAGGTGACCGAAGACCTCGAGGCACAGATCGCGTTTGGCGATGGCGGATTTGACGTGGAGCGCCTGGACGATTCTTCATCGTCGAGTCCAAGCCACTTCACCAAGTTCGCTGGCCGGTACCAAGTTTTTGTGAAGTGGCTTGGACTCGACGATGAAGAATCGTCCTGGGAACCTGCGTCGAATTTACTGGACGATATTCCAGTCGTATTTCGCAAGTGGGCGGCGGCCAACAAGCAAGACCCTGCCGTAGCCGCCCTCATCAAGACACTGGACTTTCCGTAAGAGGGGAAGTGTTCTGAAACGTGCAGAGCAATTGGGTCGCGCGTTAGTTCGACCCATTGCAAACACATACACTCTGTGTGTGTGTCATGTCAAAGGTTCCGATACCTTAGTGGATATACTGAGTACTTTAGTGAATGGTAGTCAGTAGGCGCCTCGTGGCGTGTTTAACCTCACTAATGTCAGTGTTGTATTTGCTACCTTGACGAAGGTCTCGTGGCCGGAAGCCAAGAAGAAGCGGGAGACAAAACACCATTCATACTTGATATCACTTTGGTGTACAGACAAATATGCACAGCTTTGAATCATCTTGTCGCAGAGAGTAACTCCACCCGTGGGATTTATCGCTTTTTAGAGCTTGATCAATCTGTGTTCATGATGTCAAGCCTTCCATAGCTTGGTTGGCGAAAGTACTTACAGTTCGAGCACGTTTACACGTTCTAGCATATTTAGAACAGTTTGTCTGTGTTGTGCATCGATAGAATGAAGCGAAACTAGATTGAGTGATAGCATGGTACTGTTGCTGGTGGCAATAATATTTCTTCGAAGTATTAATACTATACTAATACTATAAGAAGTACTAGTACATGCTACTATTTATAATATGTACGAGTAGCGTTATCGTTAACGCCCGTCCTTGCGGGTAACGTTATCTACCATTGGCGATGCATGTAGCCTTCGGCTACAGCTGTGGGCGAACTCATTCGAAGTTTGCATTTGTACTTACGTTACGAGTATAGAGATTTGTTTTGTACTTACCTAACGAATGTACTCGGCCTGGATGGGTGAACGAGGTAACGTAATCATTCCACCTGTTTAGTAGTAGTACTCACCCATTTAACAGTGATATAAATCCGAAACGTTTTTCAGCTTACAGTTACTGTAGTAGTAATTTTGCATGGTACTCAGCTTTCCTTAACATTTTCCCCATACAATTCCCTCATCAAAACAGTTCCACTGTTGTTTTGACCCCAAATACTGTTTAAATGAGATTTATATGGAACTTTGTATGCTCAGACCACCTCACTTCTTACTAGGGGTTAAGTGCATCTCAGTGGACTTGTATGCTCAGACCACCTCACTTCTTACTAGGGGTTAAGTGCATCTCAGGAGTCCCAGACCGGGGAGAAATACGACACCCCTAAGAAATACGACCACCTCCATGATCGGATATATTTATATTAAAAATATGTATCTTGTCAGAACGAATTAAAGTAGCACTAGCCAATGCGACATGTCACCAGGACGCATTTGGGCCGAGATCGGCAAGTCGTCGAAAGTTGACAAGTCACAGAAGCACTCAGACCAAATCACAGCCGTGCTATCGTTTCGTGCTCACGGAATGTTAGGATGATGAATGATGTTCAAAGTCTCATGACAGTTAGGCGGGAAGTTATTGTACATGGTACTCCCGGTGGCCTCATCGACTTGAAAGAATTGACGACATACCCCGACGGTGACTTCTACGCTGTCCAAGAATTAGGTTGGATGGACACTAATGTGTGGAGATTATACTTGGATATGTTGCCGTCATACTTGGATGGTCCAAGTGTGATTGTGGTCGACAACATTGACGCCCACGTGTCCAAGGAGTCGTCGGACACCATTGCCCGCGACCTCTTCAGTGTGCTTGAGCCATTGCGCCGAAGTTGACCAGTGTCTGACAACCCCTAGACGTCGGCATCATGGGGCTGTTCAAGAAAATCTTTCGAACGGTGCGGCTCGACGAAGAACCTGTTGTTATATCCCCCGAAAAACGCATGGCAATGATCAAAAGGTGTATCAAAGGTTGGGATATGATTTCTACTGAAGCTGTGAAGAGGTCCTTTGTTAAAGCTATTCCCAACCTAAAATACCATTAGTTTAGTTCTACTACATAGTAGTGTATATGAGACCTTCCAAATACTTTGTCGTTCTTCTTGTGCTCGGTGGGAGTGTTATCACGTAACCCCCTCCTGAATCCAATGGTGCTACAGTATTTCTGAAGTCTAAATCGCACATTCGTGATATATCAGAAATATGTGACATTTATTGTGTAACATGACAGACCATGCATTTTGTCCAATCATATTTTGGTTAGATTCCCAGTTTAAATAGTTTTCCATACATGGATTTGATAGAATTTGGATTGTACACCCGGTCCTATTTCTCCCCGGTTCACTGTTCTCCGGAGTACTGGGCTACGGGCGAAAAGGTGTATCCGGATGTGATAATTCCCTCATTAAAACAGTATTTCGGGTCAAAACAAAGTGGAACTGTTTTAATAAGGGAGTTATTCCTAATTTGCATGGTACTCAGCTTTCCTTAACGACTGCCCGAACTGGCGCAGTGTGGCACAATGGACAAACTATACTAAACAGATGGGGATAAATGATGTACAAGAAATAGAAATTCGTACATGGAACTACCCCTTACTAGTATACTCGTACATTGAATTTGGCCCCAAATTTTCGGCCAGGTTATTGTAAACGACGGTGACCCGCTCACTCTTATGTACTTCAACCGTTTGAAACACTTCCTCTAATTGGTTGCAATTTAGCCACCTACCGGATTCTGAGAATACCTCCACGAGTAACTGTAAATCGTGATGATTAGGGTAAGCTGGCTATTGGCTACCGTATATCCCCCGCTTCAGTACCTATTTCGGGGTTTCTATGATTTCTCCGGTTTGGCACATATCGGCCAATAATGACGAACATTTTCACAGTTCCGGTTTACCTGCATGTACTTATTTCTAATTAGACAGAAATATCCAATCACCATGCGTTAATTATTTTCATCCAATGAAATATAAGTTCTGCGATGGATTGAGACCAATGCGCAAGCCTGAATAGTTTTCAAGGTACCACTTGGAGCTGTACCGGTTTTGATCAGATTTCACTGACATTTTCATTAGGTACTGAAGCGGGGGGTATACGGTGAACAACCATTTCTGATGTAGCCCTTTGATTGGTCAAAAATGATACTTTTCAGTGTTGCACCAAATTTACATGCATTTTTCATGAGCACGAGTAAGAATTTCGACAGTCCTGAACTGCATAAATTCTCCGGTTTAAGAATCACTATTCCAACGAGAAAAGGACCCTCTTCATCGAAGGTATCACGGAACGATGTCAAAGGGTACAGTTCATGCTCTAGTGTCCGTCTTGCGCAGTTTACTGTTAGTTGAGAAATGGAACGTCGACTTAAACAGCACCCACGTGTTTTGAAGTTGAAGGTCAAGTCGAGTGGACAACCTCGAGGCATTTTAGGTTGCCTAGGAGTTCGTATTTTGGCGAGGTACGTCTCCGAGCTACACTGCGCTGGGAATTGAAAACTACGAACCGCAGATAGTACCACTGACATAAATCAATATGTCTTTTATGTCGAGCTCATGGCACCTAATCTCCACACGACGGCTTGGTGGGCGTGACGTCTCAGCCGTTGAACACGGTGACTTCCTTGGCGAATTGGTTGATGCCTTTGTACACTTCGAGCCCGTGTGTCTTGATGGTCGCCACATCCACGACAAAATCATCGCCAACAATTTCAAACATCAGTGCAGGCTTTTTGAACTCACGGAACGCGTAATCTTGAAACAATCCATACGACGGGGATAAGTTTTGGGCCAACGGTATAGCGGTGTACTCCTCCATGACGCTTTCCAATCCAAGGCCGAGGACGTCGAACTTCTCGTCAAACCCCCCACCGATGGGCTCGTTAATGTCTGCGTATGGGTACAAGATGAGCCCCGGGTACATGTACGAGTGAACGCTAATAAACCCTTGGATTTCATTGCGCTTGGTTTTGAACCAATCATTGATGCCCGCGGTTTCAGGCTCAATGAACGGCTTAAGTCCGGGGTACGTGTCGTCGTCTGGGTGAATGATTTCGGGATTGGGCAGGCTCGGCCAGTTGCGGTTCAAGTCAACACCATTGGCATTCTTGCGCTGTTTCCGGCTCAAGAAGCCGTTCCACGTGTTTTCGAAGCCGTCAATGTTGACGATCGGCACAAAGTACAAGTCGTACTCATCGGCGGCCGTGGGTTTGTTGTTGGCAATGTCAT